AATTTTCAATAAATGAGAAAAAAAGACATTTGTGTTAACATTTTTCACAGAAAGTTTCCTTTTTTCAGTGAACTGACTTTTTTTTTACACCCTCTGTTCGTTTAGTCATCAGATGGATAGGTGTCACTTTGCCTTGTTCTGAATGAAAAAAAAAAAAGACCCTTAATGTGTGAAAAATTTCACCAGAGCTACAAATCTGACTTCTTGCTGAGAAACTGTTTCCAAGGAAATTGTTTTACCAAGTGTAGTTACAGCCCCTATTCTACAGAAAACTACAACACGGAGGTGTAGGGATGCCTTTTTCTTCCGTTCTCCTTTGCATGTCTTTTAAGTACAGAAAAGACAGAATACACTGTTTTTATTTTTCTGGTTGTGAGATACCGGAGGAGAAGCACATAATTAGGTACAATTTTGCCTCTGACCCTTCACTGACCAGAGCAGACACCTGCAGAGAGCGGTAGCAGAAAGGAGGAAAGCGGCAGACTGTGCCTCACATCGCACATGGAAAACAGGGATGCATGTAATTCAGGCAGGCATATGTAAGTCGCAATGTCCCTGAGCCGTCAACTTGGATGGCATAAGCTACTTGAATGCCCTTTGATCAAAACTAGCTGGAAAGTCGTAGGCTATTTCACTGCTGTCACTGAAGGCCACACTGATCCTCATACTTATACCGAAAGTCATTTTAACCAACCTGCAATATTCTAAGATACGTAGTAGTCCAAGGGCTGTCTTGAGCCAATTGCAGAGTAAAGATTGTAGATCACGAAATTGTTCCAGGGGCACAAGCCCCGTTTACCTGCCTCTATAGGCATTGGAATCCAAAATCTACATTCACAAAAGTTTTCCTCTGTTACTCCTTCACCTTGGAGAGTCCTTCATCTAATTATCATAGAAATATTCACTTTAAATACCCGTGCCACAGGCTTCACCAATACCAGTACAAGCTAGTAAGAATGCAAGGGCATCAGTCTGAATATGGGTACTCATTTCTCTCTTCTGTTAAAATGCTAGAATGATCCCTGTAAGTTTTCGACCGGGACCAAATAGGACTCTTCCAAGTCAACCCTGGGCGTAGTTCAGGAGTTAGCAAAAGCCAGGGACTACTCCCAGCCAGAAGTTTGGATGTGCTCATTCTGTTTTACAAAGTAGAAAGTGTAAATGAATAGATTTGGTCACGCTATATCTGTAGGTGTCATGACTAGAGAACAGACTCAAACACTCCGTAGTTGACCAGCAGAGGTGGAGATTCACAGTTTGCCTGACACCTGGCAAGGCTGGTTTTGCATCCTGTCAGCCCTCACCATCTAGGTATTTTTCCAGCTAGTTTTCCTTCAGAATTGAGTGTTCTCAGAAGACATTTCTTGACGTACAACATGGTCAAAGTTGTGCTACTTCTTAGTGCGTAAAATGACCATCCAAATGGTGGTATTCCAAGTTTGGTTCCGTCCTATGCCTGAAGGAACTTGAACCTGCACCTCAAAACATCTAGTTAGGCATGCTTAATACTTAATGACAGGTTATTCTAAGCTGAGGGCGCCTCAATCTCATTTGGGGCTAATTAAATAGTTGTTGGACAAAAGCAAAAGTGTAACTGTAGTGATGACTCTATTAATCTAATGATCAGGTCGTTCATTTGGGGTGGGAGAGACCCGGGTTCCAGTCACTGCTCTATTCAACGTTTAAGCATTTTAACATTAGTTATTCACTGCTAGCTGGCTGCTGCAGTCATCTAAAAGACACAGGTTAAAATTCCCCCAGGCTGAGGAAGAAATTGAACCTACGTCTGCTGCATAAGTGGATGTGTCTCAAATACTTCAAACACTGAGATACTGCAGAGAAGCTGGTGTGGGACACACCAGAAACCGTTTTGTGAGAACAAAGTGACGTAGGCATTTGGGATAGGGGCATAGAAAACCAACAATGGCTAGGACTTTAGTTTCAGCATCCCTATTGCCTTATCCTTCTTCCTTGTATGTATTGGGCTTTGTAGACTACATTTCTAAGTACCCAGGTCTCTACACAAATTATAGAGGGGTAGCTGGAGCTCAGTTCCACAACAATGTCTACATTTGAGTAGCCTTCTGGCTTCCTTTAATAGTCAGGTAAAAGAAACGTGTAAAGAACCCTCATTCTAGTCATCTGTTTAATATCATTCTAGAAGTGAATGTTTCTCTCTTGATTATCTTGGGAACCTTGGGTGGTTAAAGCAACTGCACTATCGATATTCACATGCAGTCATTGCAATCCCAGGCCCTGTGCCCAAATCAGGACCATGGGTTCCATTAGGTGGAAAGCTGTCTGAAGAGCTAATGCCCCTCTGACAGGCATTAAAACGTCCAACTTTGTCAAAGGACCAACGTGGAAGACTCGCACAGTGTGAGCAGGATGTTAAGAATACATCTCTAAAAGATTTTCCATTGATGTCATTAGTGCAGGTCTTACCTCACATGTTTGTCAACAAGGTGTATAAAATTTCTAGACTTACATTAACATGGGAAAAAAGGTGCAGAATAAAGACATGTTTCTCTCTCCTACTGTTCTCTTGTGATAGAGCAAAATCCAAGAATGGAGGACGCTGCTTGCGAGAAAAATTAGACAGACTGGGACTGAATTTGCCTGCAGGAAGAAGAAAAGCAGCAAATGTCACACTCTTGACTTCCTTGGTAGAAGGTAGGGTTTATAACATTGTGATATACTATAAACATAATTAAAATGTTTCCTTCTATACAATATTTTTCAGCCACGGTGTTAAATATCATGATCTGTATTTTGTACAAAGGGGAGAACTGACTTGCCTAAAGCCACAGACGGATGGAGTGGCAAAATGGAAGTTCACTCTGAGATGTCTTGGCTCCCAGTAAGTGGTTTGGTCCTGCAGTTTCCTCAGCATTGCTCTGTGCTTTCTGTGCTGGGATCTGTCTTACAAATCAATGATCCAAGTGTTCTTGTAAGAGAGACAAATGTCTTATACCAGTTCCATAAGTAGGTTTGTTTATCCTCCTTTATTTTAACTTGTGAGTTTCCTGGAGCTGATCCAGAAATGTGATTTTTTTTTTTTTTTTTTTTTTTCCCATAAGAAGGCATAATATTTAGACAAGACTGTTTCCCCCACACATAAATGAATGAAATCTGTTTTCAGAGAAACTCTAGACAGACCCAGGAGATACTTTCTTGGCCTTTATTTGTTGTTTAAATATCATTCACCAAATACTGTTGGGCTCTTCAAACCTTCAGCTGGGAGATGCAGGTTCAAACCCCTCAGGCAAAGGGAAGAAACTCTACCTGAATCTCTTCTATTCTGGGTGACTCCACTAAGTACTTATTTTATTGTCTGGCTGCAAGTAGCAGCTCTGGGAATTTCAGATCCCTCCTCCTTGATGTTGAGAACACTCAGCTCATCCTAAAGGTCAACACCTTCTAGGATCATAACCTGAAAAGTCCATACAGATCTAGGCAAGCAGGCTGAGGTCTCAGCACGTAATACCACAGAATCGCAGAATTACAGAAAGGTTGAAGTTGGAAGGGACCTCTGGCGATCTTCTAGTCCAACCCTCCTGCTCAGAGTAGGGTCAAATAGAAGAGGTTGCTCAGGACCTCGTCTAGTTAGGTTTTTAATATCTCAAAGGATGGAGAAACAGTGCTGAATCCACACCAGTGGATGTTTTTCACCATCTTAGAGAAGAGACTAAGGTTCTTAGGGGCCACTGAGGACAGAGAACTACAATGGGGTTGCTCTGAAATACAGGTGTGTCCACACCACACCTGTTTGTAATAAAGAGAAAGCTTTAATGGAGCTACAGTCTTAGAAAAGGGAATTTTCTCCCCCAGTTTAATGGAGTAAGAGCATTTCCTACCCTCACAGCCCTTCATGCATCTTATGTCTTATAAGGGAAAAATATAACAGAGCTATGTGGCCAGTTACCAATTCATTAGAAGAGAAAGAGGAAGCCTTCTTTCAACTGCTGGCCTGGGATTAATGACAAAGTACTTTTACTGTAAGTCAGAATTAGATTCCTTTTTTTCCCAGGGATGAAGCTGTGCCTGCCTCCCTGCCCTTCACTCAAAACCGATAGCAAACCTAGTATCAAGCCTATGGTATCGCTTTTGTTCTTGGACTGCCTTATTGTGAGTCCTAAAGATACATACTGAGCAGACTGAGCTCACTTTGACAGAGACTTGTTTGTCTAGACATGTTAATCATTAATTTTGTCTACTGGAATTTTTGGGAAAGACACCACCATGTGCGTTAACATTCTAACAGAAAACAAAATGAAGCTCATTTTCTGTCTGTGTAACCAATCCTCGGTCAAGCTTGGCAGTGCTCATTGAATTCTTTGTGGTATAAACTGCCTTCCCTTTGCACATGCAGATGTTACTTCCCAGTGGGACTAACTTGTAGCACAATTTCTGAAGGAAACTCGTCCCTTAATGGCTCCTGCTATTGGAGGAGGGAGAAATGGAACGACACAGGCTTATTTTGGGTTTTAGAGGAGAAGAAAACATGAAGGAAATGACATAGGCTTTTTTCTGTGTGATGTCAATGTACAAATTGACATCATGATTTGTTAGCCTTTTCAAAACCCTAAATATCAGGTGCACTGTGTGGACTTCTCACAAGGACTCAGGACTGTGTCACTCCTGATTATTTCAGATGTTCTAAGTTTATCATTACTAAAAATTCTCACAGTCTTCAATGTATCAAGGCCTTTAATATCTCTGTAAGGTAGGAATGCTCAACCTCTTGAATATCTGTTTGAGGTAAGAAAAGGCAAAATTAATTGTATCATGATTAAGTATATTCACCAAAGCTGTCTCAAAAGTCTCTGGCAAGATTGAGACTTCTCTTCTTCTGAAATAGACTAAGATCATTGAGTTTTATGGAGTACTGCTAAGTTCAGAGGAACTGGGTGAATTTCTAGGCTATATTGATTATGTGAAAATCCAGACTTTATGCAAATTACGCTGTGGCCCCTTGTTTTCTGCAAACTTACATCTTTTGGCATTCAGCATTGCTGATGAGTGTTTACTGTTATTCTTGTTTTGGTCAGGATGCATCTTTAGTGCCTTTGATAGGGACTTCTGGAGCCCAAAGTAGGAATTGTTTGACAGATCGGTTCTGTTCTTTACGTTGTTATCCACATAAATCAGCACAATGGGTGGAAAGACAAACTGGGAGAATGAGCTCAGCATTGGAATACTCTCCACAGCAGAATGGGACATAGCTTTGTGCAACCTGTGGGTGAGGGATGCCCTCTAGTGCCTAGATCAGAGGAAGGGAAAGGTCATATTTCTTATGAGCTCTAAAAGGAAAATTCCTAAATCTTAGCTAATACAATAAAGGGTACTCCATTAAATACTAGCATTGCCAAGGCTAAGCCTTGCTGCTGGCTCAAAGGAGTCAAAAGTCTCCCCAGTGGGAGCAAGAAAGAATGTGAAAAGAGGGGAAATGTCCCCTTCTGTTGAACAGGTCACTTATAAGGCAGAGACATAACATAAATGTGATTGCAGATACAGGTAAAAGAAATGCACGCATGATTTTAAAACCATCAGATTTTTTACAAAAAAAAACAGAAAAAGCATTTACAAAAAATCAGGAATTTGTTTTCCTGTCAAACCTAATTAAGATGTTAAATTTCCTAGACACAGAATTGACAGAATTTATCTTTTGGAGACCAAAACTCTTGAGAAAAATAGGTCAGCGGTTACTTTTTTCATGCTACTATTAGCTATCACACTTCTCCTCCACCAGCTTTTGTTTAAATACCCTTCCCCATGTTCCTCCTCCCTTCTCACCCTACAAATAGAAAAAACTTTCCTTTCACCTCTTCCCTGTCCCTCCTCCCCCTGGACAGCATTTCTGCCGGGTACAGCATCCGGAGGAGGTACAGCCGAGGAGAGAGTAGGAGGTTCAGATGCCAAGTGTCCCTCTCCTGGGACACAGCTTCTGCCTTCACTCTGCATAGGAGCATCTCTCATTCTTGCTAGACCCAGGAGACACGCACACTGCTCCTTGCACCTGCTCACCAAAGCCTGTCAAGGTACGCGGCTGGGCTCTCCGCTGAGGTTTTCCAGAGCTGTCTCTGCCAATTCAGCTTCAGCAACTGTCCTTTTCCATCACGCAAAGCTCTCTGGTCAATCGTTGAATTATATAGGAAAGGCAGCGCTGCCTATAGCTGCAAAGCCATGGACTGGATTTAAGGAGAAAGAGTCCATGATCCCCAACATCCATTCTTTGATTCTGCAGGAGGAAAGAGCTGTGGATATTGCACATAGGGAGATTTGATTTTATTTTGAAACAAGGCAACTGGCTATAAAGCCAGGGATTTTAGGGGCTTCTGCCTTTAGTATGACTCCTCCCTGACATAAATAATAACTAAGCAGAAGGCAGCAAATCTAAGGTAAAAGAAAAGAGCTCAGTTCATCCACATTTCCAACATTTCCACATTCTCCCCTAGAATAAATGTTTGTCTGAATTGTGTTGTAGAAAAAGAAAGAACATAATTTATGACATTTTGTACAAACTACTTTCCCCCACCAAGCAGACTTATTTCCTACTGCATGGTAATACAAGGGACCTCTATTCAGTGAGATTAACAAAAAATAATATATGTAGAAGTATATCACAATCCACTTCTAAATACCAAATCGTCAGCTGCTCCACGTTCAAAATGGCACCTTTGCTCAACAACAAGATATGAGAAATTGTGTTCAGCAGAGGGTTTTCATATCCTGATATGTATTTTTATTTATAACGTGATGTTGTGATTTAGAATGTCTGCTCCTTATATCATATGGAAGTGCGTGCTTATGTGAATAAACATACACAGTTCTAATGAGCATTCACAGTATATATCAACTTTCCATTCCTAGTAAAAATACATTATAAAAATATATTTAAGACATTTTTTAATTTTTTATTTCACAAAACACAATAGGTACATTTGTGTCTACATTTTTACACATCTACTTCCACAAGCAGATATGTCATTTTGTTTCTTTTTGCTCATGATTTTATCTCTTCATATAGCGTTCAATCACAATCACAATCACAATCCTGGCTTCAGGTAAAATGGACAAGTTTTATACTTTTGTGTTAATTTCTCAGATCATCAAAACAGTTTAGTATAGTTTTCTCAGCTCTAGTAGATTATATACAACGTATTTCTAAAGATAAGTTTGAATGACAATCTAGATTTTCGTTCCCTTTTTTTTATATTAAATGAAAACTTACACATTTCTGCCAGTTTGTTGTTGACCACGTTAAATAAATGCCTAAATTTCATTACATAAAGTTTTGCTTGCTTGAAGAAACCAAGACTTTTCCATAGCTAAATGTTTAAACTCTTTGCTGACTACATTCCTTGTACTGTTACTTGGGTCTGACTGGGACAGGGGTAGAGCTGTCTGGAGAATGGTAAGTCCACCAGATGACAGCTTCAAAAGGGTCGACTTTTATGTTCTTTCCATGCTGGCAGGAAAACAAACCTATCAAACGCTTCAATGGAATTTGGTTGAAAAGCAAAACCTGATGCTCTTCTGCATCTGACTTATTCTTTAAGTCTTTATTTAAGGAAGAGTAAAAGTGTAGCTGAAATAGAAATTTTGAAGCACCTCTACAGAAATTCAGAAGCTATAGCTTAAGTTTGTACCCTTTTTTGTCCTTGAAGAAGTCTGGGGAAGATGTTTTAAATACAAAACTGGCAGTCATTTACATGCCTGTTCATTCTGACTCACTGTTAACACACCACTGAAACCTATTTGAATTTCACTGAAAGTTATTTTACTTTTCCAGAAGGTGCAAACTAAGTGGAAACCGTTTCTCCTTTCAACACAGAGATAGTGGTTACTTGTTAATTTCTTTTTTTTTTTTTTAAGGATACTGGAAATCATGCTTAAAAAATCCAAATAATGGAGATGATTTTGAGTATAATCTTATATTTTTACACATAAAATAGGTTACAGTTATGAAGGATGTTACCAACTGGTGTCAGCAAACAAATTCCCTGGGAGTAGTGCATGTATTTTACTAGAACCTGCATCCAATTAGCTCAGATAAACACTCAACAAAGTATTTGCTTGTGGAAACAAAATGTATTTTTCTGGTTAAAACTCCAGTGATAGAAGGGGAGACAATAAACTCTGAAAAGGTGGAGAATAGAGTCTGGAATAGAAGTTGGTGCGGGTGGTTCCTTATGCCTCACGATGTCCCTGGCACAGAACCACTGCTCCCATGGAAGTTTCTGTCTTCCTTGGCTTGGCCAGGTCTGTGCAGAGCAGACTCAGTCTTTCTGGGCATGGGGTTCATCTCATCATCTCTATATCACAGTTATATCTGTCCTCTGATGTGTTATTGTAGTCAATAGGGGGAAATCAGCACTTCTGGGTGATTAAAAATCAAATTAAATTAAATTAATAATTAAGCATTTGATTAGGTTTCTCAGAAAATCTGTGGAATCCCCATGGTTGGAAATATTCAAGACTAGGCTTGAAAATCCATGAATAACCTAATTTAAGGTCACACTTTCAACAGAAGGTGATCTGAGTTCCTTTCTAACCTGGAATTTTCTATAATGCCTCTGATCCACCTTTGCCAACTTCTTTAGTATGGGATGATACATGCTTCAAGGGCTAGCTTGTCTCCACTGATTTGAAAGTATTAGGTCAGATGTCAATACTGACATTTAATGAGAGGAATTCCACTACCCGTGTTCTCAAAGGGAAATGTTACAGATCCTGCATCCCTCCTACCTTTCACCTGGAGCATCAGCCTGGTCTCCAAAAAACCAGGGTCCAATGCCACCTCTCATGATAGCAATCAAATACACAACTCTGAAAAAAAGAAAAATAAAATAAAACCCCTACAACATCCTAATGCCAAAACTATTCTGGAACACATCTCTCAGTCACTCATGCAGATGTGCTTCAACATACTCATCTGGTAGATGACCTATTTCTACCTTCTACAATGAGAACAGAGCAAGTGTCATCTGGAAGCGCGTATTTCCCACCAGGGAAAGACTAACATAGGCACAGATGTTCACAATGCACGCAGCTGTGCTTGGTCAGATAAATCCCACACCAAGTTTGTCGGAGTCACAGCACACAGGCCAGAGTGTTCAGTAAACCCTAAAATAAAATTCTGGGTTCTCTAAGCTAGCAGAGAGAAGCAGGTTCTTCCAGAGGCATTTGTCACCCAGCATGAAGTTGGATTATGGTGTCCATTCTCTGTAGTGAGGTAGAGAGTTGCTCGGTGCCTGCCTCTGTCACAGACTTCTCACAAAGCCCAGTCAAGCCACATAGACCCTCTGCCTTGATTTCCTCACCTATAAAACAGCAACTGTGGTCTTCATCATCATTCCTTTTTATCTTGTCAGGTCAATTTTGATTGCAATCTTTTTGGAAACAGGATTGTCTCTTGAGCTTTACTTTGGGGTCTGCTCACCTTTAGTGTGGGGCGTTCGTATTGTGCCTGCTGGCTTAACCCCTAAGCAAATATGCTGAATTTTGTTATCCCTGCAGCTTTCTCCTGGGGTAAAAGTTTATTCTTTCTTTAGAAATAGAGAAGTGAAGCACCAAAGGCTGTGCTTCAGAGCCCTTCAGACTGGCTCCACTGGCTTCCACTAATTTCCGTGCCTTAAATATCAGTGATGAACTGGGCTTACAAAACTTGAGCAGCTGCCCAGTACTTGCTGGTGGCAGTCAACAGAACTAAACTCGTGTGTCTTGACCAGTATTTTCTCATGAGAGGAACAACCTCCCTGTCTTCTGGCTGGCACCATCTAATAACTAAGCATGAGCAGTTCACATGGGCTGAAATCTGTAACTGAGATTGGGAATGATGTCTACAGAAGTGATTTGTTATTGTGTTATTATTTTTTTTAAAGACTGTAAGATACTCTGTAAGCATAATAATAATAATAATAATAATGATAACAACTCTAAAAACTAACTGACCCTTTTGGTTTGCCCACAGGGGAAGCATTACATTTGGCCAGAGATTTCGGCTACACCTGTGAAACAGAGTTCCCTGCCAAGGCGGTAGGAGAGCACATTGCCAGACAGCACATGGAACAGAAAGAGCAGACAGCAAGGAAAAAGATGATCCTAGCGACAAAGTAAGATGGGAGGGGAAACTAAAAAAGAAATCTGTCTGTCACTTCTCCATTTTGGATCTGGGAACTCGGGAAGGGAGGAGTGGGAGTACAGAGCTGGGATTGTGGTGACTGCTATCACAACAGTACTCACTGACAGCAAGTGAGAGCAATCCTCTTTAGAGATGCTGTAAGAGGAACTTTATTTACTGCAGTGAGGTTTTACTGACTATGCTCTCATTGCCTGCGGTTAAGGAGGCACATGCATCTTCTCAGATGTATTAGTTGAGAGGAGGGGACATAATTACGTGTTCAGATCTATAGGACAGAGACTGGCTTTGTCTCCTGTTTGTGTGTGAGCAGGAGATCTAAGCTTCTACTGAAGTACTAGTTGTTGTGGTATAATTACCGTTAGTCTGCTGAGGGGGAGCTGGTTTGCAGAGGGACAGCTCCTCTCTGAAGGATGGAAATTGTGAGTTCCCCTGAAGTCAAAGGCACTGGAACAACGTACAGCAGCAGGGGAGCTTTGCTAAAGCCATTAAAGACACACAGAGGCACCTACCTGACTTTACTCTAAACAAGCCACTCACCTCCCTGGAGCAGTAACATCATGTTAGGATAACATTTTATCTAGGTTAATTAGCCTTGATGAGGGAGGAATTAGCCTTCATGAGCCATGGGAAATAGGAATAAATAGTCTGCATGGAACAATGTAGACCTACTCTAGGTGTGTGGTATGCCTGCATGGGGTAGCCTTGGATGTGTTCATTCTCTTCCTGCGCCTAGTGCAGTGTTACACAGGAAGGCTGCAGGAGAGCTGAGGCCAGAAACCAGAGCTCTCAAACTACCATCTCAGTGTTGGAAATGTCTGGAAATCATCCAGGCTGGGATATATCCATCAGAAAGGAATCACCCTGCAGTAGGGGAGAAGGCTGACCAGCAGCAGGATTGTCCTTTGTATCCAAACATCCTTC